AATATGCTATCTAAACTCATTAGATAATTTGAATTATTTCAAATGTATATGGAATATGTGTCATTAAGTAATAGTCTTTTAACTTAGTTTCTTAGTGATGAAGTAACCTAAGATTTGGTGATGGAGAATTAGAAAATACTGAAACTTTTTACATCTATTATACCATAACACAATATGAATATGGTGGGTAAATATACTATCGAGACTCATTAGATAATTTTAATTATTTCAAATGTATATGGATATGTGTCATTAATTAATAGTCTTTTAACTTAGTTTCTTAGTGATGAAGTAACCTAAGATTTGGTGATGGAGAATTAGAAAATACTGAAATTGTTTACATCTATTTTACCATAATACAATATGAATATGGTGAATAAATATACTATCGAGACTCATTAGATAATTTGAATTATTTCAAATGTATATGGAATATGTGTCATTAAGTAATAGTCTTTTAACTTAGTTTCTTAGTGATGAACTAACCTAAGATTTGGTGATGGGGAATTAGAAAATACTGAAACTGTTTACATCTATTATACCATAATACAATATGAATATGGTGGATAAATATACTATCTAGACTCATTAGATAATTTGAATTATTTCAAATGTATATGGAATATATGTCATTAATTAATAGTCTTTTAACTTAGTTTCTTAGTGATGAAGTAACCTAAGATTTGGTGATGGAGAATTAGAAAATACTGAAACTGTTTATATCTATTATACCATAATACAATATGAATATGGTGAATAAATATACTATCGGGACTCATTAGATAATTTGAATTATTTCAAATGTATATTGAATATGTGTCATTAAGTAATAGTGTTTTAACTTAGTTTCTTAGTGATGAAGTAACCTATGATTTGGTGATGGAGAATTAGAAAATACTGAAACTGTTTACATCTATTATACCATAATACAATATGAATATGGTGGATAAATATACTATCGAGACTCATTAGATAATTTGAATTATTTCAAATGTATATGGAATATGTGTCATTAAGTAATAGTCTTTTAACTTAGTTTCTTAGTGATGAAGTAACCTAGGATTTGGTGATGGAGAATTAGAAAATACTGAAACTGTTTACAACTATTATACCATAATACAATATGAATATGGTGGATAAATATACTATCGAGACTCATTAGATAATTTTAATTATTTCAAATTTATATATAATATGTGTCATTAAGTAATGGTCTTTTAACTTAGTTTCTTGGTGAAGAAGTAACCTAAAATTTGGTGATGGAAAAGAAGGAAAATACTGAAATTGTTTACATCTATTATACCAAAATACAATATGAATATGGTGAATAAATATACTATCGAAACTCATTAGATAATTTGAATTATTTCAAATGTATATGGAATATGTGTCATTAAGTAATAGTCTTATAACTTAGTTTCTTAGTGATGAAGTAACCTAAGATTTGGTGATTGAAAATTAGAAAATACTGAAACTATTTACATCTATTATACCATAATACAATATGAATATGGTGGGTAAATATACTATCGAGACTCATTAGATAATTTGAATTATTTCAAATGTATATGGAATACGTGTCATTAAGTAATAGTCTTTTAACTTAGTTTCTTAGTGATGAAGTAACCTAAGATTTGGTGATGGAGAATTAGAAAATACTGAAACTGTTTACATCTATTACACCATAATACAATATGAATATGGTGGATAAATATACTATAGTGACTCATTAGATAATTTGAATTATTTCAAAAGTATATGGAATATATGTCATTAAGTAATAGTCTTTTAACTTAGTTTCTTAGTGATGAAGTAACCTAAGATTTGGTGATGGAGAATTAGAAAATACTGAAACTGTTTATATCTATTATACCATAATACAATATGAATATGGTGAATAAATATTTTCTCTAAACTCATTAGATAATTTGAATTATTTCAAATGTATATGGAATATGTGTCATTAAGTAATAGTCTTTTAACTTAGTTTCTTAGTGATGAAGTAACCTAAGATTTGGTGATGGAGAATTAGAAAATACTGAAACTTTTTACATCTATTATACCATAACACAATATGAATATGGTGAATAAATATACTATCGAGACTCATTAGATAATTTTAATTATTTCAAATGTATATGGAATATGTGTCATTAAGTAATAGTCTTTTAACTTAGTTTCTTAGTGATGAAGTAACCTAAGATTTGGCGATGGAGAATTAGAAAATACTGAAACTGTTTACATATATTATACCATAATGCAATATTAATATGGTGAATAAATATACTATCGAGACTCATTAGATAATTTGAATTATTTCAAATGTATATGGAATATGTGTCATTAAGTAATAGTCTTTTAACTTAGTTTCTTAATGATGAAGTAACCTAAGATTTTGTGATGGAGTATTAGAAATGACTGAAACTGTTTACATCTATTACACCATAATACAATATGAATATGGTGGATAAATATACTATAGAGACTCATTAGATAATTTTAATTATTTCAAATGTATATGGAATATGTGTCATTAAGTAATAGTCTTTTAACTTAGTTTCTTAGTGATGAAGTAAACTAAGATTTGGTGATGGAGAATTAGAAAATACTGAAACTGTTTACATGTATTATACCATAATACAATATGAATATGGTGAATAAATATACTATCGAGACTCATTAGATAATTTGAATTATTTCAAATGTATATGGAATATGTGTCATTAAGTAATAGTCTTTTAACTTAGTTTCTTAGTGATGAAGTAACCTAAGATTTGGTGATGGAGAATTAGAAAATACTGAAACTGTTTACATCTATTACACCATAATACAATATGAATATGGTGGATAAATATACTATAGAGACTTATTAGATAATTTGAATTATTTCAAAAGTATATGGAATATATGTCATTAAGTAATAGTCTTTTAACTTAGTTTCTTAGTGATGAAGTAACCTAAGATTTGGTGACGGAAAAGAAGGAAAATACTGAAATTGTTTACATTTATTATACCAAAATACAATATGAATATGGTGAATAAATATGCTATCTAAACTCATTAGATAATTTGAATTATTTCAAATGTATATGGAATATGTGTCATTAAGTAATAGTCTTTTAACTTAGTTTCTTAGTGATGAAGTAACCTAAGATTTGGTGATGGAGAATTAGAAAATACTGAAACTTTTTACATCTATTATACCATAACACAATATGAATATGGTGGGTAAATATACTATCGAGACTCATTAGATAATTTTAATTATTTCAAATGTATATGGAATATGTGTCATTAATTAATAGTCTTTTAACTTAGTTTCTTAGTGATGAAGTAACCTAAGATTTGGTGATGGAGAATTAGAAAATACTGAAATTGTTTACATCTATTTTACCATAATACAATATGAATATGGTGAATAAATATACTATCGAGACTCATTAGATAATTTGAATTATTTCAAATGTATATGGAATATGTGTCATTAAGTAATAGTCTTTTAACTTAGTTTCTTAGTGATGAACTAACCTAAGATTTGGTGATGGGGAATTAGAAAATACTGAAACTGTTTACATCTATTATACCATAATACAATATGAATATGGTGGATAAATATACTATCTAGACTCATTAGATAATTTGAATTATTTCAAATGTATATGGAATATATGTCATTAATTAATAGTCTTTTAACTTAGTTTCTTAGTGATGAAGTAACCTAAGATTTGGTGATGGAGAATTAGAAAATACTGAAACTGTTTATATCTATTATACCATAATACAATATGAATATGGTGAATAAATATACTATCGGGACTCATTAGATAATTTGAATTATTTCAAATGTATATTGAATATGTGTCATTAAGTAATAGTGTTTTAACTTAGTTTCTTAGTGATGAAGTAACCTATGATTTGGTGATGGAGAATTAGAAAATACTGAAACTGTTTACATCTATTATACCATAATACAATATGAATATGGTGGATAAATATACTATCGAGACTCATTAGATAATTTGAATTATTTCAAATGTATATGGAATATGTGTCATTAAGTAATAGTCTTTTAACTTAGTTTCTTAGTGATGAAGTAACCTAAGATTTGGTAATCACTACAAGAAAAAAAGAGATTTACGACACATAAATTGCGACAGTTCCCACAAAACCGTCCTTATTCCTGAATTGCGACAGTTGTCACGACGGTTAGGCTCAACCGTCGTAGATTTTCAAGCATTATGAGTAACATAATTGCGACAGTTACCAAAAAACCGCCCTCTTTTCACATCTGCGACAATTAGGTGAACTGTCGTAACTACATTAGCCAATCATAATCGCTACTTTTTTTTATTCTTTTACTTTCCCACTTTTTTTCTTTCATTTCCCCTTCTTTTTCTCTTTTATTAATAATAATAATAATAATAATAATAATAATAATAATAATAATGATAATAATAATAATAATAATAATAATAATAATAATAATAATAATAATAATAATAATAAAATAAATTACCAAAGACCATCTAATTAATTACTTGAAAAAAATTATTTAAAAATCATCAAAGACCATGACGGTGAAAATACCGTCGCCTACAATTACAAAACATCCACGACAGAGTCCTACCGTCGTCATCCAATAACTTATATTTCGCGCAGTGCCCTTGCGTTTTGTCTTCACTGCCAAACAGAATTCATGCACACAAATGAGTTAGGGTTTTGATTCATCATCAAATAATTTCACTCAGCCACGCAAATGGGTTTAGGGTTTTGTATCATCGCCAAATAATTTCTCTCAGCCACACGCGCCGTCAAAGTAACCACCATCAATTTGAATCTTAACAGGTTTGTCTTCTCAAACCCTAAATCCCTTTTCAAGTCCTAAATTTCTTCTGTAAAGTTGTTGTCAAACACAGAAGAGGTGCGTTGTTACTTCTTTTCTTTCTCTTTTGTAGTCTTACGAGTTCAAATTGTGAATAATAGAGTTGTAGTGTGTTCATATGACATTGGATTCTATGGGGGAAGGGTATGGAGTTAAATAAGCATAAAGTAGTAGTGAGCAAGTACTTGTTTATCTGTGCCAGTGTATGTTTAGATTGACGATGCTTTTGACATTAGGACTTGGTTTGTGTTTGGCTTTCATTGTTCTCACGATACCAATGTCAGTTTAGTTCAAAGCTACAAACTTAAGCTTCACTCACCACCGCATCTGAAAGACATTCCGCCGGGTCTCCAAACACAGGGTTAAGTGAGTGTTTGGTTAAATGTTTGAATGCTTAAACTCACATCAAACACTATTCAACTGCAACTTTTAAGAAGCTTCAAGTCTTGCCGTACAGTGTGTTTGGTTCTGCGGTGAAGAAAATTGATTTCAACTAAAAGTGAGTTGAGAATGAAGCGATTAAATTCTTACTTGAGAGCGACCAAGTAGAAGAATCAAAAGCATCATATCCTAGCTTCAAGTAGAAGAACCAATTCTTAAAAGCATAAACAATTTTACTCGAGAGCAAGCAAAATTTCAATTAATTCTACATATCCAAAATCAATTCTGGGAGCTCCAAACATGAAACCTAACATACATTACCTTATGAATCATCGTGGTCTTTCACTGTAATTACTTAGAGCATGTTTGGAAGTAGTATGTAATTTAGGTTTTTATTAGTTATGACAAGTGTCAGGTGAAGTTTAAGAAATATGAATTGGAAGTTTTTTGAAAAGTTGAAAGCTCTTTAGTATTGTTATTGTGATATTGCCCATATTCGGACAAGAAAAGGTTAAAAAACCCAGGGCAGTGAATGCTATTAAAATTTCATGAACTGCCTTTGGTGTAACCTTTTTTTACTTCATAGAAGGCACAATATTTGTCCTGAAAATTGAGCATGTTAGTTATTGCTTGCTAATGCTACCTTTGTGTATACTTTGTGTATACAATATAAAAACTTATGGAACCATATCTTTGTATATTAATTTTCAGATTTACAAAGTCCCATCAACAGATTTATCCAGTGCATTTATTGTATTAGTATAAATACATTTTGTTCTCAGGTCACATCCATTACTATATCAATGACGATAATAACAAAGACGCTATCGCTGCCGGTTACGCCTCTGCTGACGATGCTATTCCAATTAACTCCGGCATGAACTGCAAACGTGAGCATAAACAAGGTTTGATCATTTATATCTGATTGGTTAACTTTTTTCTGTTAGAAATTTAATCCAATAATAGTCGATGTTGATTAAATTGGTTGAAATTAAAACGCGATTAATGTTATTGATTTGTGTGTGAATTTTTGAATGGATGGAGGAAGAGCATAAGTTGTTCTTGGTTGGATTGCAGAAAGTAGGGAAAGGGGGTTGGAGAGGAATATAAAGCCTAATGATATGGCTTATGTTGCAGTTGCTACTGCAACTTCTTTAGTAGCCTCTCACTGCCTTGAAATTGTAGAATATATGGGAGCTGAACATGAACAGATTGCAACTGCAGTCGACTTGGCTATTAATGCGAAAACGAATGGAGATATTATGACTCTTACAGCTGGAGCAGCAACATGTATTATATTTTTAAGTCAATCTATGAATCTTGAAGTCTAACGCAAAACAAGAGATATGTATTGAAATACAAAATAGCCTTGCGTGGAGCTGCAACTCTAAACGCGCGTCTAAAGAGGGGGATTGGAGCTATTACGATTCCCCCGATTGAGGATAAGTGTGGCGAAGCCAAAAAAGCAAGCATCTTGACAGCACTGGACTTTGTCTTTCAAGGAGGTGTACTTCTCAAACGTACAAAGAAAATGTACACAAAGGTAGAATTGGTCACATGCTCATTTCCATAACCTGCTGTATCAATTCATATATTTCTTCTTTAGCAGAAAAGTTTGTAAGCTCAATCATACTTGTCTCCATACTTATAACAACAAAATGTACGTCAATTTGTTGTAGTTTATGACGGATTAAATGAATGTTTCTTGTAGGGAAACTGCTGGAAACTGCATGCTGGATGCTTGGAACCTTTGGACAACACTCTAGATTTACCTCTTGTCTTCAATGAAAAAGCCCTCATTTTTGTTTTTTTTCCGGCTAGCAACATTCATTAAAACAAGGTAATGAACAATTGATACGTATCATTGTGTTTGTGCATGAAAACTCATCTGTTTCTGGTTTACTATTTGCCTAATTGTTATTAACTATGCTCAGTTGTTAGCTGTATTTCCTTCCTTATGGTATTTTGTTCATTGCTAGCACATGCTTTGATGCAGATGCACAGATTCATGGAAATCTCAGATCTTAATAAGTCAAATATGCAAATCTTGCTGGCGATATTGGCTACTACGGGTGTGATTTTCCCACATTTTTGTTTTCTCTTTCATTATTTCCTTCATGTGTATTTTCATTTGTAGACGAGTGAGGAAAAGCTTCTCTAGTCTACCTGTCGAACAATTTAGTGCATATATGTATTTTTAGAGATTCAATTACAACTGCTACTACAATGTCATAGGTGGGTTGTATTGGGATCAAAGGGTTTTTTGAACTGTAACTATGGCATTGAACCATTTTGATCAAGCCAATAACAAGTGATTTTCCCGAAGAAGTGGAAATACAATAACGAAACGATTCTTTGTTGTAATACAACATCCCTAGCTTGGCAATTATTTCTTTTCTGTTGCAGGTAAGGATTTAAAAGACTCACGAGTGCTAACTGATGTCGGTGACGTCCCTATTCAAGAAATTCGAGATTGTGGCGTAGATGATAAAAGATTGATGAGTGTCATTGGCGAATCTGTCAAGTTAGTGATGGAAGAGGTAAATTTGTCAATTTATGATTTTGAATTAAAAAAGTACACCTTTATCATCCTCATATATTGTTTCTTAGCATTCACTCCACTATCATGTGAAATGCTATAACATTTTGCAGATAACTTTCTGTTCGAACTTGCTTGATCCTCGTGTTGTTTATATTCTTTTAGGCTCCTCTAAGACCCTTAGTTTTAGGTGGTGATCACTCAATATCATTTCCAGTTATTAGAGCTGTCTCGGAGAAGCTTGGAGGACCAGTTGATGTTCTTCATATTGATGCGCATCCTGACAACTATGATGCATTTGAAGGGAACATTTATTCGCATGCTTCTTCCTTTGCTCGTGTCATGGAGGGTGACTATGTTCGACGACTCTTGCAGGTAATCTTTTATTGTTGATAAGTATAAAATCAAGGTGGCGCCGTGATTTTGTTGAAACTACAAACTGTAACCTTTTGCCAAAACAATGCTTTTTAATACATTTCAGGTTGGTATTCGATCAATAACAGCTGAAGGACGTGCACAAGCAAAAGTAAAATATCATAAAGAAACCTCAATTGACTCCACTATTTCATATCTTGGATTCAAAATCAAAGATAAGGTGGGGGTTCTTTTAGGTTTTGATTTTATTTAGGATGAACTAGGTTACTTGCTTATGTTTTGTTTGATGAGATACTTTGTATATCACTTGATTAAATATTATATGATAGTTCCCTTTCGTTCGAGTACTGAATTGATGATTGGAATTATCTTTGAGTGATCCATGTTAGTGAGAAGGAGTGTTGGTTTGGCTGTGTGTAGGAAATTCAAGGAAGAAAAAAAGGCCCTAGGCCAGTATGAGCCATAGCCCTCTTTACGGACAGGAGATAAGCACCTCAGATTTTTGTACCAGGGAGGATGGCCTGGTGTACTACGGCAGTGCCTACTTTGGGTGTTTTCTTTCCCAAATAACACCCTAATCCTTTTGGTTTTTGTATGTTATGCTTAATAGGTTATATATAAAATTATTAGATTGTAGAGTAAGTGTTTTCATTTACATTGATGTGAAAAATTTAGTTACAAGCTAACACATGTTTGCCTTATATAAAGCAAACTAGGAAAAAATGTTATAGCAGACGAAGGTCTGTCAAAACTGCCTGGTGTCAGTTTTGGTAGTTATAACAAAAATAAAAATTATCCTAACTTATCATTAGCAGGTATGTCTCTCTCTGCCTCCGTGTTTGTATGCTCGTGTATATATGCACGTACGCACGCGTGCGCATAGTAAATTCCAAACATGTATTGATACTAACTTGTGCATTTGTATGTTCTTTTTAAACCTTGGTGATTTCCTTGTGCAGAAACTAGGGGAAGGTGTGAAAGGGGTGTATATCTCGATAGACGTGGATTGTCTTGATCCTGCATTTGCTCCGGGAGTGTCTCATATTGAACCGGGAGGTCTTTCTTTCCGCGATGTTCTTAACATCCTACACAATCTTCAAGGTGATGTTGTTGCTGGAGACGTCGTTGAACTCAACCCACAACGCGATACTGTTGATGGAATGACTGCTATGGTAGCTGCTAAGTTGGTCAGAGAAATGGCTGCAAAGATTGCAAAATGATCAAGAGATTTCGGAGCTAACCTCTTTTTGTTATAGTTCCTGAAAATCGGAAAATCTCACTTGTTATAGGTAACTTGTAGCAAAGTTATAAGGTGGTATAAGCATATTACAATGTGCAATAATTCATAAATCTTTTCTCCCAATAATAAGTACTGGTATCTCACGGAAATCTCACGCTTCAATAGCAAAAGCAATGTCTCCTTGCATTATTTTACAAATGGTTTCCCAACTGAATTAATAATACTGAGTTAGTAAATATTTCAAAACAATTGGATTGCTCATTTCAAAACAATGTTGAAAAGTGATAGAAAATAAAATAAAAATACTATAAATAAAAAAATATTAAAGTAAATAATAATTTAAATATAATAGTAAAATATTATAGTAAAATAATATTATATTTAAAATTATTTTACTAAATAATAATTTAAATAAAAATATTATTTGAAATTTATAAATCAGATTACGACGGTTAAAGTCAAATTCACGACGGTATATAACCGTCGCAAACAACAACAACAAAAAATAAAGTCAAATTCACGACGGTATATAACCGTCGCAAACAACAACAACAAAAAATAAAGTCAAATTCACGACGGTATATAACCGTCGCAAACAACAACAAAAACAAAAAATAAAGTCAAATTCACGACGGTATATAACCCTCGCTATTTGTTGTGCGTGACAGTTTTTGCAACCATCGCGAAATAGGCTGGGGACGCACGATTCTGCGACGGTACTTCTACCGTCGTAGATTGTAAATTGCGACGGTTTTAACCGTCGTAATCAGCCAAAATAACCGTCCCAATCTATCATTTTTCTTGTAGTGAATGGAGAATTAGAAAATACTGAAACTGTTTACAACTATTATACCATAATACAATATGAATATGGTGGATAAATATACTATCGAGACTCATTAGATAATTTTAATTATTTCAAATTTATATATAATATGTGTCATTAAGTAATGGTCTTTTAACTTAGTTTCTTCGTGAAGAAGTAACCTAAAATTTGGTGATGGAAAAGAAGGAAAATACTGAAATTGTTTACATCTATTATACCAAAATACAATATGAATATGGTGAATAAATATACTATCGAAACTCATTAGATAATTTGAATTATTTCAAATGTATATGGAATATGTGTCATTAAGTAATAGTCTTTTAACTTAGTTTCTTAGTGATGAACTAACCTAAGATTTGGTGATGGGGAATTAGAAAATACTGAAACTGTTTACATCTATTATACCATAATACAATATGAATATGGTGGATAAATATACTATCTAGACTCATTAGATAATTTGAATTATTTCAAATGTATATGGAATATATGTAATTAATTAATAGTCTTTTAACTTAGTTTCTTAGTGATGAAGTAACCTAAGATTTGGTGATGGAGAATTAGAAAATACCGAAACTGTTTATATCTATTATACCATAATACAATATGAATATGGTGAATAAATATACTATCGAGACTCATTAGATAATTTGAATTATTTCAAATGTATATGGAATATGTGTCATTTAGTAATAGTGTTTTAACTTAGTTTCTTAGTGATGAAGTAACCTATGATTTGGTGATGGAGAATTAGAAAATACTGAAACTGTTTACATCTATTATACCATAATACAATATAAATATGGTGGATAAATATACTATCGAGACTCATTAGATAATTTGAATTATTTCAAATGTATATGGAATATGTGTCATTAAGTAATAGTCTTTTAACTTAGTTTCTTAGTGATGAAGTAACCTAAGATTTGGTGATGGAGAATTAGAAAATACTGAAACTGTTTACAACTATTATACCATAATACAATATGAATATGGTGGATAAATATACTATCGAGACTCATTAGATAATTTTAATTATTTCAAATGTATATATAATATGTGTCATTAAGTAATGGTCTTTTAACTTAGTTTCTTAGTGAAGAAGTAACCTAAAATTTGGTGACGGAAAAGAAGGAAAATACTGAAATTGTTTACATCTATTATACCAAAATACAATATGAATATGGTGAATAAATATACTATCTAAACTCATTAGATAATTTGAATTATTTCAAATGTATATGGAATATGTGTCATTAAGTAATAGTCTTTTAACTTAGTTTCTTAGTGATGAAGTAACCTAAGATTTGGTGATGGAGAATTAGAAAATACTGAAACTTTTTACATCTATTATACCATAACACAATATGAATATGGTGGGTAAATATACTATCGAGACTCATTAGATAATTTTAACTATTTCAAATGTATATGGAATATGTGTCATTAATTAATAGTCTTTTAACTTAGTTTCTTTGTGATGAAGTAACCTAAGATTTGGTGATGGAGAATTAGAAAATACTGAAATTGTTTACATCTATTTTACCATAATACAATATGAATATGGTGAATAAATATACTATCGAGACTCATTAGATAATTTGAATTATTTCAAATGTATATGGAATATGTGTCATTAAGTAATAGTCTTTTAACTTAGTTTCTTAGTGATGAACTAACCTAAGATTTGGTGATGGGGAATTAGAAAATACTGAAACTGTTTACATCTATTATACCATAATACAATATGAATATGGTGGATAAATATACTATCTAGACTCATTAGATAATTTGAATTATTTCAAATGTATATGGAATATATGTCATTAATTAATAGTCTTTTAACTTAGTTTCTTAGTGATGAAGTAACCTAAGATTTGGTGATGGAGAATTAGAAAATACTGAAACTGTTTATATCTATTATACCATAATACAATATGAATATGGTGAATAAATATACTATCGAGACTCATTAGATAATTTGAATTATTTCAAATGTATATTGAATATGTGTCATTAAGTAATAGTGTTTTAACTTAGTTTCTTAGTGATGAAGTAACCTATGATTTGGTGATGGAGAATTAGAAAATACTGAAACTGTTTACATCTATTATACCATAATACAATATGAATATGGTGGATAAATATACTATCGAGACTCATTAGATAATTTGAATTATTTCAAATGTATATGGAATATGTGTTATTAAGTAATAGTCTTTTAACTTAGTTTCTTAGTGATGAAGTAACCTAAGATTTGGTAATGGAGAATTAGAAAATACTGAAACTGTTTACAACTATTATACCATAATACAATATGAATATGGTGGATAAATATACTATCGAGACTCATTAGATAATTTTAATTATTTCAAATTTATATATAATATGTGTCATTAAGTAATGGTCTTTTAACTTAGTTTCTTGGTGAAGAAGTAACCTAAAATTTGGTGATGGAAAAGAAGGAAAATACTGAAATTGTTTACATCTATTATACCAAAATACAATATGAATATGGTGAATAAATATACTATCGAAACTCATTAGATAAATTGAATTATTTCAAATGTATATGGAATATGTGTCATTAAATAATAGTCTTTTAACTTAGTTTCTTAGTGATGAAGTAACCTAAGATTTGGTGATGGAGAATTAGAAAATACTGAAACTGTTTATATCTATTATACCATAATACAATATGAATATGGTGAATAAATATACTATCGAGACTCGTTAAATAATTTGAATTATTTCAAATGTATATGGAATATGTGTCATTAAGTAATAGTCTTTTAACTTAGTTTCTTAGTGATGAAGTAACCTAAGATTTGGTGATGGAGAATTAGAAAATACTGAAACTGTTTACATGTATTATACCATAATACAATATGAATATGGTGAATAAATATACTATCGAGACTCATTAGATAATTTGAATTATTTCAAATGTATATGGAATATGTGTCATTAAGTAATAGTCTTTTAACTTAGTTTCTTAGTGAGGAAGTAACCTAAGATTTGGTGATGGAGAATTAGAAAATACTGAAACTGTTTACATCTATTACACCATAATACAATATGAATATGGTGGATAAATATACTATATAGACTCATTATATAATTTGAATTATTTCAAAAGTATATGGAATATATGTCATTAAGTAATAGTCTTTTAACTTAGTTTCTTAGTGATGAAGTAACCTAAGATTTGGTGATGGAGAATTAGAAAATACTGAAACTGTTTATATCTATTATACCATAATACAATATGAATATGGTGAATAAATATTATATCTAAACTCATTAGATAATTTGAATTATTTCAAATGTATATGGAATATGTGTCATTAAGTAATAGTCTTTTAACTTAGTTTCTTAGTGATGAAGTAACCTAAGATTTGGTGATGGAGAATTAGAAAATACTGAAACTTTTTACATCTATTATACCATAACACAATATGAATATGGTGAATAAATATACTATCGAGACTAATTAGATAATTTTAATTATTTCAAATGTATATGGAATATGTGTCATTAAGTAATAGTCTTTTAACTTAGTTTCTTAGTGATGAAGTAACCTAAGATTTGGTGATGGAGAATTAGAAAATACTGAAATTGTTTACATCTATTATACCATAATACAATATGAATCTGGTGAATAAATATACTATCGAGACTCATTAGATAATTTGAATTATTTCAAATGTATATGGAATATGTGTCATTAAGTAATAGTCTTTTAACTTAGTTTCTTAGTGATGAACTAACCTAAGATTTGGTGATGGGGAATTAGAAAATACTGAAACTGTTTACATCTATTATACCATAATACAATATGAATATGGTGGATAAATATACTATCTAGACTCATTAGATAATTTGAATTATTTCAAATGTATATGGAATATATGTCATTAATTAATAGTCTTTTAACTTAGTTTCTTAGTGATGAAGTAACCTAAGATTTGGTGATGGAGAATTAGAAAATACTGAAACTGTTTATATCTATTATACCATAATACAATATGAATATGGTGAATAAATATATTATCGAGACTCATTAGATAATTTGAATTATTTCAAATGTATATGGAATATGTGTCATTAAGTAATAGTGTTTTAACTTAGTTTCTTAGTGATGAAGTAAC